GGGGGGGGGGGGGGGGGGGGGGGGGGGGGGGGGGGGGGGGGGGGGGGGGAACCGGCTGGACCAAAGGGACCCCCCACTTAAGTGGGGGTATTTTGGGGATGGGGGGGTCTTTTTGAAAGAGTATGAAGGGAGCCATTAGGGTTTAGTTTTTGGGTATTATGAAAAGTGTATTCTCTTTCTAGTTTCTTCCTCTAGTCTTCTTCTTGTGCTTTTCTAGGGTTTTCTTGTGGGAGATAGTATCCTTCTCGAAGTGGACAAACTTATTTCGTTTTCTCTTGGCTTTCTAATGCAAAGGTTCTCACTTTTCATCTCAACCCTTTTGTGATTGTTTCTCATTTGGTTTTGGTGGAGACATTTTTCTATTTTGGAGGGGAAATTAGGGCAAACCCTAACTTGTGAAACCTAAGGCGTATCAGTATGCTCCTTCTAATTGTTTCCGTAATCCTTGAACAATATTTTAGTTATAGTATGATTTAAGCATTGGCACTAGCTTAAATCATCTTATGCTTTAACTTCATGATTTGTTTTGTATTTAGGACTACCCTCTTTTGTTCAAATATATATTTTCTTATTAAATTGGTATTCAGGATTTGTTTCTCAGGCTATGAAGTTGGGTGCCCAAGTGCTACCTACTTATAGAGCATTCTCCTTGGAGGATTTAAAAGAAGCAACCAAGAACTTTGAAAGTTCATCATATATAGGCGAGGGCACAGCTGGAAAGGTCTTACTAAAATTCAAACTTTTGCTGAACATCTATATATTTAAATTATCTTCCTTGTGGTTCTTGCATATTTCTGGTCTGAGAATAATATTAACTTTTAATTACATTGGAATTGTAGAAGTAAATAAGCAAATTTCATGTTTTTGGGTAATTATTTATTTTCTGTTAATTAGTTTTGAGCCAGACACCCAACACATGATTATGAATAAAATTCACTTTCATTCTCACCAATTTTTATGAAACCAAATTTAGCATTAATCAGTTTTTTTTTTTTTTGCATAAGGCTGAGTTTGGTTTGAGTGAGATGGAGAAAAGAAAGTGAAAAAGAAAGAGAAAATACAATGAAATTTGATTCTGCTTTACTTCAACTCATATTTATGCGAAGATAGAATTGTTAGGAAAGTGATTTCTATTTATTCATTGGATTGAACTTTGACGGAAAAAGTGAAGTTTAGCTTGTTCAATCTCTTAACCAGAAGCTGAAAATGGAATTGATATGCTTTCCTCTACCCCACCCGTACTCTTACATAAAAATCAGCCCAACTTCCCACCCATCCATACAGTCACTCCACATGAAACTTACAATGATCCCAACAATCAATTTTATGTTCATCACTGACAACTTTTTGTCAGGGAGAATGAATCACTTTTCAATTAATTTTCTTAGTTTAAGTCCATAATTATGTTTTGCAAGTTTAGAATTTAAAGAAACAAGTAAAGCACCTCAAGGATAATGTATGTTTTGTAATAATGATGGGTGCAATCTAAAAAAGTATAATTTATAACATATACTGAAGCCTTGGAAATGTTTCAATGTTTTTGTACTGTTTTACTTTCTAGGTGCCATATAGGTTTAAAGTGATGAAGTTTACTCCTTTCTATTGTTTTACAGCTTTACAAGGGGAGGCTAGAAAATGGAACATTTGTTGCTATAAGATGTTTGGTATTGTCTCGAAAACATTCAATAAGGAACTTAAAGTTAAGGTTGGACTTACTTTCAAAGCTTCGCCATCCACATTTGGTTTGCCTCTTAGGACATTGCATCGATGGTGGGGCAGATGATTGTAGTGTTGATAGGGTCTTTCTTGTTTATGAATATGTACAAAATGGAAATTTTCGCTCTCACTTATCAGGTAAGTAAACTAAACTAAATAGCCAGAACAATATGACTTTGATGAGATTTTCTTGTTGTTTGCAATTAATTATGTCTTTGGCATTTGAATAAATCCTCCAGAGCGCAGTATGGAGAAAGTTTTGAAGTGGCAAGAAAGATTGGGAGTTCTCATCGGCATAGCTAAGGCAGTACACTTCCTTCACACTGGAGTAATTCCTGGTTTCTACAATAATCAACTGAAGTCGCATAACATTTTGCTAGATGAATATCTTGTAGCAAAAGTGAGTGACTATGGCTTGTCGATCATTACAGAAGAAATTCACAAAAATGAGGTACTCTAATAATCTTAATCCCTATTTGACAATGATTTCTTGTAATATACAACGTGGTGCTATTTTCTATAATGTTCTACTACGATTTGCTATGAAAGAAAATGCATTACTAGTTGATACAATTGTTGCTTATTTTATTTTTCGAGCTATTGTGATAGATGAACTTGTTATAGAGCATGCTTGCGATTAATGTTTATGAGAACTATATTCATTCTCTATTGGGTAAATTTATAGTAATATGTTGTTTCATGTGGTTTGACATAGCTTAGTTGTGATCGTTGTTCTCCAAGTTCAAAATTATGTTTGTAAGTGCTTAGTATTTTCAGATTTTTTATTTTCTATTATTCGTTGCCTATCAAAGATAGTGGTTTCCATGCGAGTTTGTGTTGACCTCAATATTAGTATCGGGGTTGTATCGACCGCACGAGATGAGTTTCAAAAGAAAAAAAGAGCACAAGGTCGTGCAAAATTTGTCCGACGTGTATTGACTGAAAATTCAAATCGCCGAAATGGACCCCATTTGCAAAACTGGCTTTTGCCGATGTGTTCAGAGCAATATAAACAGCTAAGATCGACACCTATATTGATTAGACACTGGTACTTATGTATGAACATATGTATCCGCGTTCATTTCTCCGGGCACATAAGCGATATGGGTGTCGATCTGAGCTGTTTTCATTGCTCCGAACGCATCGGTGATGTCCGTTTAACAAATGGAGGCCATTTCGTCAGTTTAAGTTTTCGGTCTACACGTGTTGGCCAAGTTTTACATGACGTTGAACTCTTTTTTCTTTTGAAACTTATCTTGTGTGGTCGACATGACTCTGACACTAGTATTGAGGTCAATAGTTTGCTGTGAGCCATAGTTGGTATTCCAACCATTGATATGCTAGGGTGGTGATTTTTGACTGTTTTTTAGATGCTAGTTGCTGAAGGCAATGGTTTCATGATTTGTTTTTAGTGGGATTGGCTTGGGCTGACCTTGCGGGTTATATAAGAATTCAATTGTTGTGATTGTTTTATAGGAAAAGTTTAAATTGGAAGGCTTAAAGCTGCAAGAAACTTTGGGTTGCATGTAGTTATAAGGTTTACTGTTAAATGTGTTGTATTAAGATAAATTTGCTTTACCCAGCATACAAAATTTTACCGGCCATTTTGCTCCCAACTTCTATAAATTTATCACTTGCCACTCTTCATCTAACATCTAAGTTATAATTCCGACATGTATCTACCTAATAAATTGACCTCCAAGCCCTATATAATGAGTTTATTCTAATGCGTCGACACACTCTACAACCAGAAGTAGAAGTGTTTAAGCTTTTAGCCAGAATCTCTTGTAGTAGAGAAGAGAAAAGAATAGAAGAGAATGGTATAGAATAGAAGAGAGGAAGAATCTCTCATAGCTGAGAAGGAAAGAGGGTAGCAATTTTTTCTTCTCCACATTGACTCATTGAGCCCTTATTCTCGTAACACGTGATTGCATTCCCTCTCAATCATAGATATAAAGAAAGAGGTATTTTTATCCTTATCTTCTTATGCACAAAAGAAATATTTGATGTACTCTTTTAAAACTTTGTATATTCTTTGATCTCTATGTGCCATAAAATTAGGTGAATATCATAAATCACATAAGCTTGTGTTTCTTGTATATGAGCTTTTTTTTGTATTTTTATTCTTTTGACTTTATTTGATTGTGTTCAAGTTTTGTCCTTATCCTAATAGTTGGTGTTAAAGCTTTTTGGCTAAGCTATATAGAAATTTGAGCGGAAGGCAGAAAAAGTCAATATCGACAAATTTGATGGCCAAGATTTTGACAATTGAAAGATGCAAATAAAATATTATCTTTATCAAAGAATGTTTCATCCTGATAAAGGGATCTAAGCCTTCTACTGTTGATTAAGATTAGGAGTTTTTAGACAGACAAAACTTTGGGTTTATTTATCTATCATTGATCAAGAATATTACTTTCAGCATTCTCAATGAAAAGACCACAACAAGCCTAATGAAAGCATTATCAAACATATATGAGAAGCCATTTGTTGTTAATAAGATACCTCTTATGCGTAAAATTTTTAATCTCAGGATGTTTGAAGGGGCCTCTTTTATTAAGCACGTCAATGTGTTCAACCTGATCGCAAGTTGATTGAGCTCCATGGACATCAACTTGATGATGAAATTCATGCCTTCAGTCTTTGTTGCTTCCTAAAAGTTAGAATAGTGTACCAAAAGCCGTTAGCAACGCGTATGGATCAAATATATTTGACTGATATTAAATATTTCATCCTTTGTGAAAGTATTTGACGGTGCGAGACAAGTGAACTCTCTTCTTCTGCTTTGAATATTGATAACATAAACAAATCTCAAAAATAAAAACAATCATCAAGATAGAGTTAGATTCAAATAATGAAAGAGCAAATATATATATATATATATATATATATATATATCAATATTCTGAAAAATATGATAAAGGATTATTGCAAAAGAATGCAAGAATAAGAACAAAAGCATAAAGAAAAAAACTATGAATATTGTTTGTTGACCCTAATACTAGTGTCAGGATCGAGTCGACCGCGCAAGATGAGTTTCAAAAGCGAAAGAGCTCGAAATCGCGCAAAAACTCACCCGACGCGTTTCGACCAAAAACCCAAAATCGCCGAGATGACCTCCGTTCGCGAAACGGATAGCGCCGATGCGTCTGGAGCAACGTAAACAACTAAGATCAACACCCATATTGATGGAGTTCGTCGATCGACGAAAAAATTAAATTTTGGGCGCGCGAATCGAAGCGACGATGTGTATAAGCGGCGACGACCAACTCGATGCAAGATTAAAATTTTATTTTTATTTTATGCAATATAATTTAAAAAAAATTAGAAAGAGAGGAAGAGAAAGACCTTTTTAAATAGGAAAATGAATTTTCTTTAAATAAAAATCCAAAAAATACTTAAAATACCTCTCCTCACATAACCCTCACTTAAATCCCTCATCCCAAACCGCCCCTCTCATTCTCACGATCATTCTCACGCCTAGGAGTCCCCCCCCCATACGCCTCTTGAGATTCCCAGCCGCCGGCCTCCCTTCTCCCTCCAAGGTCCAAGGTAAACTCCAAATTTCTTTTTCTCCTTCTTCTTCATCCATTATTCTTCTCTTCTTCTTCTTCTTCTTCTTCTTCTTCCTTCCCTCTTCTTCTCATTCTCCTTCTCCATTTTTCTTTCTCACTCTTCTTCCCTCCATTTTCCCCCCTCATTTCCTTTCATTTTCTTCCTCTCCTCTCTTCTCTTTCCTCTCCTTCATCTTCTTCTTTTTCCTCCACATTTTCTCCAAACCTACAACCAACCCTGACCCTAATTCTTTCATATCTTCACATCCATCCCATAAATCACTCACCACCTTTCACTAAAAACATTCCTACACATTTCATATCAAAATCTCTATCATCCCTCACTTTTTTTCTCTAGAACGAGAAAAAAATTTCTTCATGTATGGCTCCCTTTCCATCCCAAGCATCTCTCCTCTCCACCATGCCTCCAAATTCCTTCCTAGAGAGAGAAAAAAATTCTACTATCTCTCTTTCTCTCTCCAAAATTGTAAAAGAGGGGTTTTCTCTCTCTAAACCTCTCCCCCCATTTTCTTATACCTCCTAAATCCCTCTCCATGCAAATTCCCATCAAATGCTCTCTTTCCCTCTCTTTCTCTCTCTAGAAAGGAGCTCTCTCTCTAGCCTTTGTTTTAAATAAAAAGAGGCATATATGATTAATTAAATTGCACAAATAATTAAAAAAAATTTAAATTGTGCATCGCAGGTTTCTGATATTCGCCGTCGTCGTCTCGAGCACTGCACACCCAAGGTAAAAAGCCTGATACTAGCATTTTATATTTATATGCATGAAATAAGTACTGGTGACTGCTTTTGTTAGTGAGTGAGGAAACTTAAGTACCCGTCACCGCTCTTATCAACGAGCGGGGAAATTCATATGCATGAAATATAAGTACCCGTGTCTATTTTTTTAATGAGCGGGGAAATTTGTTATTTATAAAAAAATTATTTAAGTACCCGTCACTGCTTTTAAGCTGGGAAAATGCTGTTCTTTATACATGTACTTAAATATCCCGTAACAGCTTTTGTTAGCGAGCGGGGAATGAGACTACGGACGTGGTGTCATTTGACACCTACCGTGACTGCCTTTCTTGGCAGCTGGGAAGACCTTACACTCTCCGATGAAGTCCCCCTACACGGGGATGATGTTAGAGTGCTGCCGAATTTTTCAACAAGAACTCATGACTTAGAAAAAAAATTTAAAATCCACATAAAATTCTAAGTAAAAAAATAAATAAAAATAAAGCACACGACACCATAGGCTCCCGACACTAGAAAAAAAATATAAAAGAAATCCACGTCATAATAAAATGTAACATATAGTGAGCGGGGACCAATCCAAGATTCCCTCATAATAAAATGCAACATATGGTGTGTTTTATTTTTTTGTTGACTTAGAATTTTTTGTGGATTTTAGATTTTTTTCTAGGTCATGGGTTCTTGTTGAAAAATTCGGCAGCACTCCGGCTTCGTCCCCGCGTAGGGGGTTGCATCGGAGTGTGTAAGGCTTCCCGCCTGCCAAGAAAGACAGTCACGGTAGGTGTCAAATGACACCGCGACAGCAATCTCGTTCCCCGCTCGCTAACATAAGCGGTCATGGGGTCTTTAAGTACATGTATAAAGTACAGTATTTTCCTCGCCTAAAAGTAATGACGGGTACTTAATTAAACAATTCTTTTACAAATAACAAATTTCTCCGCTCGCTAAAAAAAGCGGTCACGGATACTTATATTTCATGCATACGAATTTTCCTTCTCACTGATAAGAGTGGTCACAGGTACTTAAGTTTCCTTGCTCGCTAACAAAAGCGGTCACAAGTACTTATTTCATGTATAGAAATGTAAAATACTAGTGTCGGGCTTTTTATCTTGGGTGTGCAATGCTCGAGACGACAATGACAAATGGCGGCGACTGTCGGAAACCTGCGATGTACAATTTAATTTTTTTTTAATTATTTGTGCAATTTAATTAATCATATATGCCTTTTTTATTTAAAACAAAGGCTAGAGAGAGAAAAAGAGAGAGAGCTCTCTTTCTAGAGAGAGAAAGAGAGCATTTGATGAGAATTTGCATGGAGAGAGATTTCGGAGGTTTAGAGAGAGAAAACCCATCTCTTTCTAATTTTGGAGAGAGAAAGAGAGTGAAATTTTTTTCTCTCTCTAGGAAGAGAATTTGGAGGCATGGTGGACAAAATAGATGCTTGAAATGGAAAGGGAGTCATACATGAAGAAATTTCTTTCTCATTCTAGAGAGAGTAAGTGAGGGATGATAGAGATTTTGAAAGAAAATGTGTATGAATGTTTTTTGTGAAAGGTGGTGGGTGGTTTATGGGATGGATGTGGAGATGTGAAAGAATTAGGGTTATGGTTGGTTGTAGGTTTGGAGAAAATGTGATGGAGGAAGAAGAAGAAGATGAAAGAGAGGAAAGAGAAGAGAGGAGAGGAAGGAAATGAGGGGAAAATGGAGGGAAGAAGAGTGAGAAAGAAAAATGGAGAAGGGGAAGAAGAGGGAAGGAAGAAAAAGAAGAAGAGAAGAATAATGGAGGAAGAAGAAATTTGGAGTTTACGTTAGACCTTGGAGGGATAAGGGAGGCCGACGGCTTGGAATCGCAAGAGGCGTGAGGGGGGCGGCTCCTAGGCGTGAGAATGGTGTAAGAATGATCATGAGAATGAGAGGGGCGGTTTGGGATGAGGGATTTAAGTGAGGGTTATGTGAAGAGGGGTATTTTAGGTATTTTTTGGATTTTTATTTTAAAAAAAAATCATTTTCTTATTTAAAAAGCTATTTCTCTCCCTCTTTCTAATTTTTTTTTAATTATATTGCACAAAATAAAAATAAATTTTTAATCTTGCATCGAGTTGGTCGCCGCGTCGCCGCTCGCACACGTCGTCTCCTCAATTTGCGCACCCAAAATTTAAATTTTCGCCGATCGACGAACCCCATCAATATGGGTGTCGATCTTAGCTGTTTTCGTTGCTCCAGTCGCATCGGCGCTGTCTGTTTCGCTAACGGAGGTCATCTCGGGGATTTTGGGTTTTCAGTCGACACGCGTCGGGTGAGTTTTTGCGCGATTTCGAGCTCTTTCGCCTTTGAAATTCACCTTGCACGGTCGACTCGATCCCGACACTAGTATTAGGGTCAACATTATTATAGAAGAAATTCAAGATGCATTCATGCTCAGTGCTAATAATCTAATAGAATCATGGATATTGGATTTAAATGCATCATATAATTCTTTTCATCAAGAATTACTAACAAATTATTTTGTATGAATTTTCTGCAAAATATTTATTTTTAATTATTAGCCATTAAATTTATGGGCATCAATGATATGATACTCCAAAGTCTAAGCTAGAAATATAGTTTACATGAAAGCTGAGCAAGGTCAGACACATCCTTGGTATGAGAAGAAACTTGACTTCTATTGGCTTGCAATTATGAGGATGTAATTTCACATTCAATATTAACACCTCGAAGGTGAACAAATGAGTTATGGTGAGATAAAATGCAATTGTTCGTTAATTTTGTTTGATTTGAATTTATTGTTGATTTCTTAGAATTGAATTATTGCATTATCATTTGGGTTTTAATTCTTGCATTTATTAGTTTGCACTTTGCACATTCCAAAAACAAGTTTTGTATATTTAGTTGTCTTTAATCTGTGAATCCTATGTTCCTTTGCATGATCTGAATACATTCCATCATTTAGTGGCATTAGAATTTTCTAATCTTAAATTATCATGCATCAATAGGAATACTTGCCTCAAAAAACTTCAATGTTGTTTTGACTAAACAATGCTTTTAGAAAGTATGCTTGTTCAACTTTCATAACCCTTATTTTTTTAGTTTTTGTACAGCTTAATTTTCCCACATAACAACTGAATTAACTTTTACCAAACACGTTGAACTTAATTATTGCCTTAAATACGTAAGCAATTAAAAAATCATTACCAAAATGCCCTAATTCTCGGCTCCTTCATAAACTAGAAGTTTAGCATTCAAGAATTGTATTGTACTGCATGATCTTATAGTAGTGAATCTTGGTTTGCAGGCCAGGGCTGATGGGCAGAGAGCCATCCAAAGCATGTCTAAAGCATCGTAAGTCAGTTCTCTTAATTATATCTCATTGAATGCATTTACTAGCAATCTTAAATTATTTATCTATTTAAGTTATAACTTCATTTTTTAGGTAATCTAGTCAGGAGAAAAATTTAACCTTTTCTGCTCTCTTTCTAGAATTGTGAAATGCATTATTCTGTATTTTATATCTACAGAATTTTCTATGTATTTTACATTAGCTACAGACCTACTGGAATATCAATCATTAATTGACCTTGAAATATATATAAAAAAGTTTTCTTTTTTAAATTCCAAATTACTTGTCTTTGCCAGATTCCATTACTAATAGCATAAAAATTGCTACTGTTATAGTGTCCTTCCATGTATTTTCTATTTGAATTTAACATGATAAGGTTAATAATAGGAGACACTCAAAAATTTCAAGTAAATCCTACCAATCTTGGGAAACAACGAGAAATTTTCACAAATCCAATGGAAAATCAGAGAAAGATAGGAGTTTTATTGCAAGAACTCAAACTAACGGAAGAAAATAGCAAGCTACAGTTGATCCTCAATTCGAGAGGAGGATCAATCTCTCCCAAATCTCTAGACGCCGCTAGAGCCCAAAAACCTAAACCTAAGAGATCTCAAATTTCATCCAAATTCAAGATGCCCTAACCCTAGGAACACAAACTATTTAATGCATACAATTCAAAAGGAAATCCTAAACAGCACCTACTTTGAATTTCCCTCCCAAACCCTTTCAAAAACCTTCCTAAACAGCTCCGTGAAGAGTTGGGTGGTCGGATCCTGCATACAAGAGACGGAGAACTTCCGCCTATTTCCCGTAAGCCGGTCCCATATGGACTGGCTGAAACCAGTGTAACAGTTAACTGATATGTTTTTAATTTGTTTAACTACAAAGGATCCTACATTTGGGATTGATATAGAGATGGCAATTGGCAGGTGTGTAAAAAAGGAAATGATTGCTCGATGTGAAATACTTTGCCTGTTAAAATAGCACTTCTACGGATCATGATTTGTTGCAAAATATTTCTTTTTGTAAAAGAGTATAATATTGCAATAACAAATTGGATTATGCAATTGGATATACCATTGTTAGGTTCAAGCATTTCTTAGTCTCCTTTTGCAGAGGATGCAGCTTTTTATTAATCAATTATGGCTTTTTATATTGTCTCATAGTTTTTTTTATTGCGTTTTACAACATTTTTTCTGTTGATAACAGGGAAGGATTATGCTTGGAGGATGATGTGTATTCATTTGGTTTAATCTTACTTGAAGCACTTATTGGATTACGAAGGTCTGAAAAAGGAGGAGCATTTCTCCCATATGAAATGGTATGTCAAAATACGAATTTTATTGAAATAAAGGATGAAAGATCTGGTTTTCCAACAATTGAAGGAATCATAGTAATTAGTGAGAAGCCATGCTTTTGTTACATGCATATTTCATTTCTATTTTATGGCATGTTTGATAATATGTTTAGTGTTACAGAAGTTGATGTGATTTAATGTTATAAACATGATGGTGGTGAAGCAGATCCCGGACCTCGTGAATTTGGATTTGTTCATGACATATGAGTCTGATTTTGTTTAGGAGGACATGATCATATATCATAGGTTGTCTTTTGTAGACATCTAAGTGGAGATTCAATAGGATAATGGTTGTTTATGGATGCAGATATTCAAAGACAGCTATTATAGAACACCTTATGATGAGGACATCAGATTTCGACATGTGTATTGTCGTCGGAGACGTAGATTGACAGCTACGATCCAGAGCCTATACTTTTGATATATCTTGTATTTTATTTGTTCTTGTCCTAGTTTACCCCTGTGGGTATTGAGTCGCTATTGTAGCCCCGAGGGCATTTGTGTCTTTCTAGTTTTGTTTCATTTTGGTCTATTTATAGGAGGCCTCTTGTATTGTACTAGATGATTATGAAATGAAAAATTTCTATTATTTGTTTGATCTCTAAGTGAGTTCATGAGAGAAGAAGCCCTAGGAGGGCGATAGCAAGACCCGTCAATCGTTGGTGGATTCCAAGGTTCGCGGTTCGATCTCGTTCTTTCCCAACCTACAATTCTTCCTCCAAATCAACCACCCGCCGACCTTCCCTAACCAAAGCACCTAATTTTTCTTTTCTTCAAAACCCGAGCCCCTTGCCCCCCCCCATCCTCCTTGGCCGCCCCACCTGCCGGCCAACCACCTAGCCACCGGCCTCCCCTCCACCATCCCTACTACCTCTACTTGCTCAACCCGCCGGCCCACTTCTTGCATTTGAAATTCAAGTTCAAATGTTCATTAAATACTTTCCTAAAATAAGTCTAAGTAATTAGCAAAGTTACTTAATTGGATTTGAAATTCAAATGCTTTCCTAATGCTAGCACTTAAATTTGGAAACTTCTTCTTTTAAATAATATCTGAAATTCAATTCAGATTTTATTTAAATCATTGTTTATTGCTTGGGGCCCACTTAATTAAACCTAAATCCCTTTCCCCCTCTCTCTATTTGGCTGGCCACCTATCCCCCTCTCCCTCTCTCTCCTATTTCATTAATTGCCACTAATTAATCCTCCTTAATTCTCTCTTAACCGCCCCCCACCCGGGTCCCTCCCCCCTTTTAATGGATTAATTTGAATTTCAAATTAATTCCCTCAAATTCCACTTAATCTGAAATTTAATTTCAGATTTCTATTCATCCTCCCTAATTCCCGCCTAGCCCTAGCTGCCCCTTCTCCACCTCCTCCAACCCGAGCCCCCACCTCTCTCCTTTCTCCTTGGCCGATCCTCCCAAGTGGCGGCTCCCCCACCACAGCACCACTACAACACGCCAAAGACCTCCTATGATCATGTATGGCCGATCCAGAGCTTGACCATGGATTTGTGTACAACTTTCAAGGGGAGATCGACATCATCCGATCACCGTTCTTCGACGTTGGATTCAGATTCGACCACACCGTCGAAGATTACGTAAACCGTATTCTTCCCCACCTAGTGGATGTCATCGACGAGCAACAATCAACGGAAGTGTGTACAATCACTGGATGCCCACCCGCTCCTCTAACTCCGGCTCCTTCCCTGGTGAGTAGGCCCCTCGGCATCACTTGTCTACTAGTGGCATCCCTAAGCTTGTGTGCAATCCTCTTCCGCTAAGCCGAGCGATATCAAGAGTGTATGTGAGGGACTCTAAGGTGAATGATCTAGATTTTAAACCGTGGATTTTGTTACGTGCCATTTGCTTTACTATTTATTTGTTGATGTAATTTTGTTAGTCACCTGTTGCTCTTAACTGTAATCAATTGACATTACTTAGTTCTTCCGTGGAATTTTTCTAAAGATCTATATTGAAACGCATTCATTTATGTTTAACTACGCAAAGTTCACAAGTTATTTATTTCTTACAAGCAATTCTTGTTCCATCCACATTGTGTCACATCAACTTCAACTAATCATGTCATTAAGGAACTTTTCTTATGCATATATACTTTTTCAAAAAGTCCTTAAGAGTTCAAAGTGCTACTAAGGTTTGTTGTTGTTTTTTTTTTGGTTAGAAGTTATAATGAAATGAGAAAAACATGAAGTACATGAATTTGTTAGATGAAAATGTAAAAACTAACACAACTACAAAAAATATGATTACAGAAGAGAAAGTATCCATTTAATAAGAGATTCTCAAACCATGTTTATTTATAGTTCCTTGCTTGAAGCATGATTAACCCTAGTATATGCCACTATTTTCTCCTATTTATGCCCATTCTGGCATACATTATTTAAAACATTCTATCCAATTGAGTTTATATATTCAGTATGCTAACATCAGAATCATAAAGTTGCTCAGAATGTGGGTCAACATCTGCAACAATAGGATGAGGATTGGGAGTTAACGCCTTTGATAGATATGGATCAATATTTTTTGGATGTAGATGAGATGGTCGATTCCTTGGTGCTTAGGACAGCAAAGGAAGGTTCTGAAGGCTCTGGTTTCATAATAAGGTCTAGAGCTTGTTTTTAAAATTGTGTGTGCAAACTTAATAGATGTAGGTAGGAGCTGTCTCCACATAAAAATAGTTTTTATTCATTTATATGCTCCTCTTTGTTCTTGAATGCAAAGATCATTAATAGATGATTTTCTTAATTTTATGCTAGCCTCAACTTAATTGTAGTAGTTATGTCCAAAAATTTTGTAACAAGGGCACAAGAGGGAATGCCTTCAAATTCAACAACTTGCTGATAACCTTAAGAGGAGAAATGAATCCAAACTTACATAGATTGCTTAGTTTTGATATTTCAACAAAGGTTACTTAATTGGGGGTTATATATGAACATATTTGATTGCATGATGCATGTTTAAGGCTTATTATATTTAAATAATAAAACCATTTCTTATGTGGTTTGAGAATCAATGTTAACATTTCATTTATATTAACTCTATAATATATATAACTTATGAATGAGGGAATAATTAATAAAGCCCATTACTTTCCATGCATGTTTATGTTGTTCTTGACTTGCTTACCACAATGAAATACCTGTTTTATGCTCACATCATATGCATGTTCATGGCCCCACTTACACCACTTCGTGTTGCACACTACCCTACATCATGCACCTGCTGTCAACCTCCACACTTTCCGCTCTCTCGCATCGCTTATCAACCTACATTGCACACCCTCGCATGCCACTTCCTTGCATCCTACATCAACTCATGCGACAAGCTCGCAACACTTGCTTCGTGTCGCTTCCTTCAACACTTTCACTCCATACTACTTTGCTTTGCTGCTTTGCAAAGATAAAATTGTTTTTCAATCCTGTTGACCCTAATACTAGTGTCGGGTTGAGTCGACCGCGCAAGATGAGTTTCAAAAGCAAAAGAGCTCGAAATCGCGCAAAAATTCACCCGACGCGTGTCGACCGAAAACCCAAAATCGCCAAGATGACCTCCGTTCGCGAAACGGACGGCGCCAATGCGTCCGGAGCAATGGAAACAGCTAAGATCAACACCCATATTGGTGGGGGTCGACGGTCGGCGAAAATTTTAATTTTTGGGCGCGCGAATCGAGACAACGACGTGTGCGAGCGGCGACGCGACGACCAACTTGATGCAAGATTAAAAATTTATTTTTATTTTTGTGCAATAAAGGATTTTTTGATTTTTTTTATTTAGAAAAAATCACTTTCTTATTTAAGAAGCTCCATTTCTCTCCCTCTTTTTAAAAATTTGTTAATTTTATTGCACAAAAAAAAAATTAATTTTGCATCAAGTTGGTCGTCGCGTCATTGCTCGCACATGTCGTCGTCTCGATTCACGCGCCAAAAAATTAAAATTTTTGCTGACTGTCGACCCCCACCAATATGGGTGTTGATCTTAGCTGTTTCCATTGCTCCGGACGCATTGGCGCCGTCCGTTTTGCGAACGGAGGTCATCTTGGCGATTTTAGGTTTTCGGTCGACACGCGTTGGGTGAGTTTTTGCACGATTTCGAGCTCTTTTGCTTTTGAAACTCATCTTGCGCGGTCGACTCGACCCGACACTAGTATTAGGGTCAACAAATCCGAGAGGAAGAACAACTCTCCAAATCTCCGGCAATGCCAAGAGCCCAAAGCAAAAGAACCCTAGAGCTCAAATTACAATTCAAATTGAAGATAATCCTAATTCCCTTCTATTCACCTAATTAACATCAAAGGAGAATTACAACTTACCTAATCAGCCCTTACATTCAAATCTTCCCCCCAAAAAACTGCATTAAGCCCATCATGGGGCCCACAGGAGTTTTGCCCCCCTCTCCCTGTTTTCTCTTCCACAGAACAAAGTCCTGGACAGGGCCAACCGGCCCCTCCTGGGCCGGCGTGGGAGCAGGCGCAACATTACTCCCCTCCCAAAAACTCATCTTGTCCTCAAGGTGAAAAGAGGGAAATTGCTCTTTCACTCTTTCAAATGGTTCCCAAGTAGTGTCGAAATCAGGTAGATCCTTCCATCGAATTAGCACTTCCTTATTGCCCTCTTTATCAGATCTTACCCTTATAAGCTCCAGGGGTTCTAAAATCACTTCCAACTCCTTCGTCATTGATGCTGGTAACTCTGCACTAACTGCATGCTCTCTTAGAGCTCTCCTCAGTTGTGACACATGGAACATCGGGTGTATGGTAGCGGAGGCGGGTAACTTCAGACGATAAGTCACAGCGCCAATCTTCCCCAAGATCTCATATGGACCAAAATACCTTGGAGTCAGTTTCTCTTTCTGCTTGTTAGCCACTAATTTCTGTCTGTAGGGCCTTAGCTTCAAGAACACCTTCTCCCCCACATCAAACTGTATGTCCCTCCTGTGTGAATCCGCCTGTCTCTTCATAATTTGTTGTGTCCTCTGCATATGTTTCTTCAACTCTTCTAGCACCTTGTCCTTTTCCTCAAGTACTGCTCCACTGACGAATCGGTGTGCTTTCCTTCCCATAGTGCACTAGGTGTGGGGGGTCTTTGCCATACATCATCTTGAAAGGCGTCATTTGAGAAGCATAATGGTATGAGGTATTGTACCAATACTCGGCCTAAGATAACCACTTCGCCCACATCCGCGATGTTTCAGAGGCAAAACATCTCAAATGAAGTCCATAAATACTTCCTCCCACACTTTGTTTGGAAGTGCTAATGGTTGAAGTAGCCCTTCTGGTGCCATCGCGATATATTTATTTCTCTGACACACCTCACACCTTTCCACCATCTCTTCCACATCCTTATACATCCCCTTCCAGTAAAGCTTTGTTGCCAGCCTTCTGTATGTCTTTTGTATGCCTAAA